GTAGAAGACACTGGCTTACTATCTGTTTACACTAGTCCCTGGAGCAGGATCAGTACGTGGTGTGACAGTGAAAGAAATGTGACAATCTTTTGTCCAAATGTGTGATCAGCAAGTTTTGTTTTAATGTTTGGTTTTTGTAAATGCTTCCAACTCTGCTATTTCCAGTCACTATACTACCACTTTTCTTTAACAGTGAGCAATTGTGCAAACACTTCAATTACTAATGCAAGGGAGCAAGAAGATCATTGATCATTCATACACTGTTGTTATATAACAAACAAGCAGGAAAATTATGTCACTCAGCAAGAATCAGCTCCCAGCAGAATCCTGCAACTTACACATGTGCATACATTAGTGTGTGTAGTTACAAAAGAGCCCAGAGTCTTGTGCTCACTGTTCCATTCCCAAACCATTCCTTCATTTCTCTCTTCCTGGAGCTCTGATTGTGGAGTCAGCTTCCAGGAAAACAAGCCCAAGAATCTTCAAAACAGGGTCGTCACTCTGTGAATCCAGCTGAGCCACCCTGTCCCCTTTCACTTCTACACAGATTCACCTCCCAGTGGGATGACATGGCACTGGTACTGAGCAGGAACCCAAAGTAATGTACCCCACAGACCCAGGAATACTGAGCGCAATTGTCAGTGTTCCACTGCAGCCCTGACAGAGCCCCGCTCTGGCTCATTTCTGTCTGTGCATGTCCCCAGTAGGAAACATTGAGGCCTGGATACCTTGTAGAAACCACACAGAGGCCGGGCCCCTGAGTCCCATGTGGTTAGCCTCTGACCTCACTGCGGGAGATGACCCTCACTCAGCTCGAACTATGAAATGGTCAATAGGATTTCAACCTGGAGCACAGCCGGGGAGGGGAAAGGGGGAAGAACAGAGAATCAGCTGAAAATATTCACATGATGACAGCAGTGATGTTTTCACTTCCAATGATCACTGTCGCTCTCAGTCCAGATCAGAGTTCCTGTAGGGACTTCAAAACTCCTTTTCCATTTAGAGTGTACTCATTTCCCTACAATACGAAACACATTGAAGATTAAATAGAAAATAAAAAGAGATGGAAACATGATGTAAATAACGGGGAGACTGGAGTTAGCATTCAGTAATAAATACTGAAAAGTATTGAATCAAATCTATGTTCTATTTCTAATACTAAAGAGGCTTGTAAACAGTCCATTGCAGACTCGTGCAGTTCTGTATAAAGGTGGAGCAATGAGGGACAGAATTGTTGGTTAAGATGTTTGACGCAAGAGACAACTGCTTCAGTGACTGGTTTGGACTGAGAGAATATGCAAGTTTCTCAGCACAAAAATCTGAGAAGCTGACAGTACGTAGCCTGGGGGAGAGAGAAAGAAAGAACAAGAATCAAAGTTTATTAATAACAGTATTACTGACAGATACAACTGTAAAATATAATATATTCTGTTATAGTAACATCAGGTGGAATGTTCCCAGGCCCTGAATGACATGGACGACAGAGAAAAATCTGGGAGAATCCCATCAGAACTTAAGCAGTGCCTTCCCTGACGTCAAGAGAAACAAGTCATATTTTCCAAATGAGCTTTCTTCTTTCTTTATTTGAGGAACATGGGCATCACTGGCTGGGTCAGCATTTATTGCCCATTCTAGTTGCCCCCTTGAGAAGTAGGAAGGGCGTGGAATGCCCTGCCTGCAAATGTGTAGACTTGCCAACTTTAAGGGCATTTAAATGGTCATTGGATAAACATATGGATGATAATGGACTAGTTTAGGTTAGATGGGCTTCAGATTGGTTTCACAGGTCAGCGCAACATCGAGGGCCGAAGGGCCTGTACTGCGCTGTAATGTTCTATGTTCTATGTTCTAAAGTGAGGGTGAGCTTCTTGAACCACTGCAGTCCAGCTGCTGTGGGTTGATCCACAATGCCTTTGGGGTTAATTCCAGGATTTTGACCCAGTGACAGTGAAGGAACAGCGACATATTTCTAAGTCAGGATGGGGAGTGATTTGGAGGGAAACTTGCATGGAGTGGTGTTCCCATGTACCTGCTGTTCTTCTACATGGAAGTGGTTGTGGGTTTGAAAGGTGCTGTTGCAGGACCTTTAGTGAATTTCTGAAGTCCATCTTGTAGCCAGTACACACTGGTGCTACTGGGTATCGTTGGAGGAGGGAATGGAAGATTGTGGAAGTGATGCCAATTAAGTGCACAAGGATACTGAAGCAGGCACTGGGACTAATATAACAACGCCCTTTAGTTCTCAAAGCTCAAAATGCTGAAATCAAGATGAGTTAATATTTAAATTAAGTGCAGAAATGCACCATGTCTACATTACCAACACTGAAGAACATAGAAATGTCATTACTGAGGGCCAAAACAACGTAAGGAAGAAGGCTACATTAATACCTTCCTTAAATGTCATAGGATTGAATTCAGAAGAAAATTTCAAGTTTCTTGATTATTCTAGGCATAGTGAAGGTAACCAGTTCTAAAATTAAGTAGATTGCATAAGCTATTTTCAGAACTTATTCCATATATTAACTCAGAGTATATTGGGTTAAAATATTCCCATTGGTGAAAGAATTGAGAACCAGAAGGTATTTATTTCAGTTAATTAGCAACACTTGCAAATTATTTCATGCATTAAATGTTTAGGATCTGGAATGCGCTGCCTGAGAGAGTGTGGTGAGGTAGGTTCAAATGAGGCATTCAAAACTACAATGGATTATTTTCTCAAAAGCAAAATGTGCAAGGTGACAGCGAGATGGGGGACAAATAGATCTACATAGGTGTTTGAGAGGAAAGCTGGCACCGACAATTGCTGAATGGCTTCCATTTTTGTAATAAGTACTCAATGATTTTATTGATAACAAGTTCAATGATGCAAATGATGTTGTTCAAATATTAATCTACAACTGTAGCCACCCAGTTATTATAAATGAATGTCTATTACTTATGCCCGTGTCTGTATTTTACAGTCTGGGTTCCCCAGAGCCATAATTCCAATCTTGAGATAGTAGGAACTGCTGATGCTGGACAATCTGAGATAACAAGGTATAGAGCTGGATGAACACAGCAGGCCGAGGAGCAGGAAAGCTGACATTTCGGGTCTGGACCCTTCTTCAGAAATTTCTGAAGAAGGATCCAGACCCGAAACGTCAGCTTTCCTGCTCCTCTGATGCTGCTTGGCCTGCTGTGTTCATCCAGCTCTACACCTTGTTATCTCAGTTCCACTCTTGAACCTCCCAGTTTATTATTGCTCAGATTCAGGAATATTATGACTGATTTGTCGTGAGAGCAAGATCGTGGTCACCAGAATCTGACAGACTGACATTTGCCGGGCTGGGGTTTAGAGACAGATAGAGAGAAAACAATAATGGAAAATGGAAATTAGAGTGAAGCAGTTATGAAATTTGACATGAGCACTCTGATACTAATTAAAATGTTCATTTTGGAAGGGAGAACAAAAGAACAAAGTATTATTTAAATGGAGAAAAACAACTTGTGCAGGAAACACACAGGGTGCAGCAGGTAATTGGGAAGGCTAATGGAACGTTGGCCCTTATTTCAAGGGAGTTGGAGTATAAAGAACAAAGAACAAAGAAAATTACAGCACAGGAACAGGCCCTTCGGCCCTCCAAGCCTGTGCCGATCCAGATCCTCTATCTAAACCTGTTGCCTATTTTCCAAGGATCTGTATCCCTTTGCTCCCTGCCCATTCATGTATCTGTCCAGATATATCTTAAATGACGCTATCGTGCCCGTCTCTACCACCTCCACTGGCAACGCGTTCCAGGCACTCACCACCCTCTGTGTAAAGAACTTTCCCTGCATATCTCCCTTAAACTTTTCCCCTCTCACCTTGAAATCGTGACCCCTAGTAATTGAGTCCCCCACTCTGGGAAAAAGCTTCTTGCTATCCACCCTGTCTATACCTCTCATGATTTTGTAGACCTCAATCAGGTCCCCCCTCAACCTCCATCCTTCTAATGTAAATAATCCTAATCTACTCAATCTCTCTTCATAGCTAGTGCCCTCCATACCAGGCAACATCCTGGTGAACCTCCTCTGCACCCTCTCCAAAGCATCCACATCCTTTTGGTAATGTGGCGACCAGAACTGTACGCAGTATTCCAAATGTGGTCGAACCAAAAGTCCTATATCATTTAGGTTATATTGTCCCTCCTCAGTCTAACATCCAAAATGTAATGGTTCACTTCTCACTGTATTTTACCTGTTGTACACTGAGAGATGATAATGTGTTTTAATCTGCAAAGCTAGGACAATGATTCCAAAAGTATCAGTCAGTCAGCCATTTTAGGTTTGTTCATGGCAGCCATTTCATGTCATTAATTTTATAAACAGGGAAAGGTAAGAAAAAGTGGTGACTTGGATGTTCATGTGTATTTGAGTGCAGCGTAGATTCATCAGAATGATAGTTGGACACCAAGGATTCAATGGCAAGGGAGTGAAGTGACACAAACCCAGGGTTGTGTCCCTGGTATTTAGAAAGATCTGAAGTGATGAAAGTTTCTCAGTCAATGACAGAAACTGCTGAGTTAGACAGAAAGAAAATAGTCTTGTTGTTTCTGGAGTCTAGAACTAAGTTGATCATCTGGAACCCTTTTGAAAATCTCGGATCATGTTTAGCACAGGATTAGATGTTGATTAAATCACCCCGATATTGTCCACCAACAAACTCTTACAGAAAAGGGACAGCACGGGTTTAGAATCAGATTAAAACCTCCTCTACATTGTCCCCACCAAATACTTCTAGGACAGAAACAATATGGTATCAAATACAAAACAAAGCTTTCTCTATATGACCAGAAAATGATTGTCTTCCATGTGCTGCAGTCCTGCATTGTGTGTCACAGAGTGAGCTCTGAAACATCTCCAGGACAGTCTCACTCTGTATCTGTAATTGTCTCTGTCTCTGAAATTGCCTCCCCTTTCCCTCTACAACACTGAATAAACTTCAAAACAGCTTGATTACCAGTAAAACACTTTGGATACCCTTAAGTTATAAAAAAGTGCTTTATTTTTGTCCAACCTTCAGTTTCAATGAGGACATTCAGTGTGTTTCCTTTCTACATTTATATTATCCACAAATCACACAGAACGTTAACGTCCAGGGACCGCTAATAATCTGGAAGCTCCATGAAGTGTCGGCCTGTATTGCAAGTGATTGGCCATCAAGGGGCAACATCAGGAATCTTGTGGACCATTTTCATCCTCAGACCAACTGTTACCAGTCTCTGCAAAGAAAAATCACATTTTCAAGAGGCAGGAATGTCTAAACGAAAACAGCTGTTGATGGATAAATGCAAGGTATCGCATTTCGGTACAAGAAACAGAAATAGGTCTTATACAATTAATGACATGGCCCTGGGTAGTATTGTAGAACAGAGGGACCTAGGGGAGCAGATACATAATTCATTGAAATTTGTGTCACATATAGACAGGGTGGTTAAAAAAGGCATTTGGCATGCTTGCCTTCATTGCTCAGTCCTTTGAGTATTGAAGTTGGGAAGTCATGTTGAAGTTGTACAGGACATTGGTGAGGCCTCTTCTGGAATATTGTGTCCAGTTCGGGTCACTCACTTACAGGAAGGGTATTATTAAGTTGGATAGGGTTCAAAAGAGATCTACCAGTATGTTGCCAGATATGGAAGATTTGAGTTATTAGAAAGGCTGGATAGGCTGGGGCTTTTTTCACTGGAGTGTAGGCAGTTGAAAGGCGACCTGATAGAAGTTTTTTAAATAATTAGGTATAGATAGAGTCAATGGTAGTTGTCTTTTCCCTAGGATGGGGGATTTCAAGTCTAGGGGTTGCATTTTTAAGGTGAGAGGAGAGAGATTTAAAAAAAGACATGAGAGGCAATTTTTTTTTAACTCAGAAGGTGGCTCGCGTGTGGGCTGAACTTCCTGAGGAAGTGATGGATGTGGGTACAATTACCATGTTAAACAGACATTTGGATATATATATGAATAGGAAAGGTTTGGAGGGATGTGGGCCAGGAGCAGGCAGGTGGGACTAGTTTAGTTTGGGATTAGTTCGGCATGGACTGGTTGGACCGAAGGGTCTGTTTCTGTGCTGTATGATTCTATGTGCTTCCCCAACTCAATCACTGATACTTTTCAAGATGAGATTTTCAGGAGGACATCGAACTGACAGAAACATAGAAACTAGGAGCAGGAATAGGCAATTCAGCCCTTCCAGCCTGCTCCACCATTCAGTATGATCATGGCTGATCCTCTATCTCAATGCCCATATTCCCGCTTTCTCTCCATAACCTTTGATGTCCTTAACCTCTAAAAGCATTATCAATCTTTTTCCTCAATATATTGAGTGATTTGACCTCCACAGCCTTCTGCGGGAAAGACTTCCACAGGTTGACCACTGTCTGTGTGAAGAAAGTTCTCTTCATCTCCATTTGAAGTCATATCCTGAGACTGTGATGTTTGGTTTCAGGCTCCCCGACCAGTGGAAACTTCCTCCCTGCATCTGGTCTGTCCAGCCCTTAGAATTGTATATGTATCGATAAGATGCCCCCTCTCATTCTTCTGAATACAGGCCCAGGCAAAACGACATCTCTTCATGGGACAGTCCTGTCATCCCCAGTATCAGCCGAGTGAACCTCTGCTATGCTTCCCTTATGGCAAGGATATCCTCTCTGAGTTAGGGAAACCTAAACTGCACTCACCATCCTCCTTGTCTGGTCTCACCAAGGCCCCTGTATCACTGCAATAAGACATCTCTACTGAAGGAATTGAGTTCGCTATATCCCATCATATAATTTACATTCCTGTCTGTTTCATTTGATGTACAGTTAAAATATTGGCAGAGAAATATAATGTGGTGAAATGTGACTCACGTTTGTAGGAAGAACAGAAAAATAAGAATGCTTGTTTAAAATAGTGAGATATGACTAAACAGTATTATCCAGGGGGGTTTACGCTATCAGAAATTTAACTTGATAGAAGAGCCAACAATGAGGAGGACAACTGTTACATCACCAGTTATTTCCAGCAGATTGTATAAGGAACATAAGAAAGGCTTGCTGTGAATCTCTCTAGGTCAGAGTTTCCCTTTGACTGAGGATATTAGTATCCCTTTGGATTTCCTCTGTCACACAGTGGCTCTGTGATACATTCTACATACATCATTATTGGTGCTCCCTTGCAGATGAGGATGACTCACTTCCACCCTCAGGGTGAATCAGTAGGTGGCTGTATAGACCAATGCAGCTTCTGCAGGTTCTGTTACTCTTGGGACAGAATGTGGTTGTGGGAAGGGATGGGTGGGCATTGGTATGGCAGTGCACTCCTTACACTATTCTTGCCTGGCTTCTGCTTTTTGCTGACTGCAAGACTTGAAGTGTTCAATGCCTTCCCAGATGCTCCTCCTCCACTTTAGACAGTCTTGGGCATGTGATTCCCATGTGTCTGTGAGAAATGCAGCACTTCACCAGTGAAGCTTGAAGGTATCGCTGAAAGCCTTCCTCTGTCCACCAGGGGCTCGGCTGCCGTTTCGGAGCTAGGAGTTGAACAACTGCTTGGGGAGTCTCGTGTCGGTCATGTGGATGATGTGCCCAACCCCTTGCAGCTGATCAAGGGTGGTCAGTGCCTCGATACAGGGGATGTTAGCCTTGTCGAGGACACTGGTGATGGTGTGCCTTCCTTCCCTGTGGATCTGCAGGGTCTTGTGAAGGCAGCGTTGGTGGTATTGCTCTAGCACCTTGAAGTGTCTACTGTGGACAGTCCACGGCTTAGAGCCATACAAAACAGTGGGAACCACTGAAGTCCAACACATACGTACTCCATCTCTCGTACAAATTCAAACACACGTGCGTGCACACAGACACGTATACACATGCGCGCGCGCGCACACACACAAGCGCGCACACACTGAATCTCACACTAAACCCTCACATGTGAACATAAGAGGAATGGTTAATAAGTTTGCAGATGACACCAAAATTGGAGATGTAGCGGACAGCAAAGAAAGCTACCGCAGAGTACAATGGGACCTTGATCAGATGGGCAAATGGGCCAAGGATGGCAGATGGAGTTTAATTTGAATAAATGTGAGGTTCTGCATTTTGGAAAGGCAAATCAGGGCAGGCCTTAGGCACTTAATGGTAAGGTCCTGGGGAGTGTTGGTGAACAAAGAGACCTTGGAGTGCAGATTCATAGTTCCTTGACAGTGGAGCTCCAGGTAGACAGGATAGTGAAGGTGGTGTTTGGTATGCTTGCCTTCACTGGTCAGTGCATTGAGTATAGGAATTGGGAAGTCATGTTGCAGCTGTACAGGACATTGATTAGGCCACTTTTGGAATACTGCACGCAATTCTAGTCTCCATGTTATCGGAAGCATGTTGTGAAACTTGTAAGGATTCTGAAAAGATTTACAAGGATGTTGCCAGGGTTGGAGAGTTTGAGCTATTGGGAGAGGCCGAATAGGCTGGGGTTATTTTCCCTGGAGCATTGGCGGCTGAGGGGGTGACCTTATAGAGGTTAATAAAATCATGAGGGGCATGAATAGGTTGAATAGCCAAGGCCTAAACCGCAGGGTGGGGGAGTCCAAAACTACACGGCATAGATTTAAGGTGAGAGGGGAAAGATGTGGTACCTAAGGGGCAACTTTGTTCACGCAGAGGGTGCTGTGTGCATGGAATGAGCTGCCAGAGGAAGTGGTGGACGCTGGTACAATTACCGCATTTAAAAGGTATCTGGACAGGTATATGAATAGGAAGGGTTTAGAGGGGTATGAGCCAAATGCTGGCAAATGAGATTAGATTGATTTAGGATACCTGGTCAGCATGGACGAGTTGGACCAAAAAGTCTGTTTCCATGCTGTACAGCTCTGTCGCAATGACTCTATGACTTGCACACAAATATACTTAGCCATGGACTCACAATTTATCAGTCAGTCACTTACGTACATACACGGGCATAGTCTCACATAACTACATCCCCATCCTGATAAAAATACACACGTGTGGAACCATACACGCTCACCATCACACACCTTCTCATGCAGTAAGCACTCTGTCACTCAAATATACTCAGTAACATAGTCACACACTCAGACACACACACACAGTCTTACATACGTGCACGTGCACACACACACATACACACACACACACACACACACACACACACACACTCTCAAATCCATAGGGTGAATCATTCCATCCAGGAGATTTGTTTAGTTGCAGATTTTGTTATTTTCAAACAACACACGAACTGAATCCACGGTTGGATGGTGTGCTATTTGATAAATTCCTGCCTTCAGCATCAAAATAATCAGATTCCAAATTAAAACTTTGCGATGGATTCTGAACAAGGCTTCACATGGAATGTGTTTTATAAATCTCCATCCTTCAGTAACTTTGTGGGCTTTCAGTGTCAGCGTGTGATTTGAGTAAAATACAGGCCTCTCCCCCAACGATATTGCATGACCATTTTGCTCTTTATGACAAACACAAAGCTCTCATCTCTCTCGTGTCTATTTCACTGGAATTCTGTGCTTCATATTAATTGGCCATTAAGAGCAAGGAAACCTTGCTGTGACTATCTTACTGAGATGACAACAGGAATCCTGTGGACCACTTTCATCTTCAGACCAACTGGAAACAGCTTATGTCTGTATCGTCCTAAAGTTTGCTATGATTCTCTTCTTTTTTCACTCCATTGTCAATTTGTATGTCATCTGCAAATTCTGAAGAGATGTCCTGTTGAATGGAGTTTGTTAGAGAGTAAAGCTCTCTGCAGTGTCTGCAACAAAGACTCCCAGGACAGGGGGTCTCTCTGGATGATGAGAGAGACCAGGTTCTCATTAATAGAGTGGAAGGTGGAGAGTCAGAAAAGGAATAACTGTGACACTCTGCTCTATCCACTGACTCTCCACCCCTCAGTGAAATTCCCTTTTGAAAGCTTCAATTGTACCTGCCACTACTATAACTCCAGGCAGGGCACTCCACACACAAACCAAGCGTTGTGTGAAAAGAAAAATCTCTTACATCATATCTTTATTTTTGCAAGTCAGTTTGAGCTCATGTCTTCTCATTCCTGATCCTCATATTCAGGGAACAGATTTTTCCTATCCGTTCAATCCAGAGCTCTCAGATCTCCAACAAGAGAAGTCTCAATCTGTCCAATCCATCCTCATAACTGAAGGTCTGATCCCTGGAATAAATGTACACAATATTCCAAGAAACTGTAGTGGTTGAGGAAGTGAGCTCACTACCACCTTCTCAGGGGTAATAAGTGATAGCCCAGCCAGTGAAGCCCACATCCCCTTGAATGAATATAACTGTCTTGTTAGCTCAGTCTAACTCCGTTCTTCTTGTATGCTATGCCCCAAATAATAAACTCACTATTCTATATGCTTTATTAATTTGCCCTGAGATGTTGCTATTGGGCTGTCTCATTGAATCTTTGATTTAACTGTTATTATCTCTTCCCATTCTGTGATTACTGAAGTCGGATAAATACAGTGAAACTTTGCCATTTATCATACAAGAGTAAGGAGAGAATGGTCACACCACATAAGATCAGGATGTAAAATAAAGCAGCAAATAATGTAACATACTGTAGGTCCATCAGATTCTGAAAGCCACCCCCTTTTTTGCAGGTGTGTGCTAAGTCCACAATTTAAACACCTAGCAGTACAGCCTGACAGCTGCTGTGAAAGGGTAAATGTGTAAGGTAATTGTGGGGTTAAGTGCTAGTTTGTTTAGAAGCTAGAGTGCCATAAAAGTGGTGGACTGCTTATGGGAAGCTAGAGTTGACTGGTGCTAGGGATGTTGGGGGTAAGGGCGGGGGATGTCTGGGGTTTTGGTGTCAGTGGGAAGGTTTCAAGAAATATGCTACGGTTGGCGTAGAGTGGTGTTGGGCATGTATCAAGGTCGGGTTGCGCAGCACATGTCAGTGCAGGCAGTGGCCAAAGTGACTTTCAAATGGTTCTGGGTTGGGGTCTACACTGTCTAACATTTCCTGGGTAACTATTAACTTTAAACATTGGAACCCTCAAAGTTTTCCTCCCATGCAATTTCCACAGAGTCTGTATGACCAGGTTTCCACAGGGTCCTGACATGAAACTCCAGCCTGTGCTGCTCCAACAAATTCCTGGCCTCTGGAATTGTTCCTTTCTTACTAAGATAATGCAGAAAAGTATTTATACTTTTCAATGTAATTCCCTGGTTGCACAATCCATCAGAATCTACTACACTCCCTGAAGCACCCCATGCAGTAGATATTTGACCCTGCTGAATGACAGGACCTATCCCAGTTGAAGGTATCCTGTCCTGAACACATGCAAGTTCACTTCACAAGCAAAGTCACTGGGCACAGAAATCACATGGGAACCCTTGGGACTTCACCTCCAAACCCTGAGTGCAATCGTCAGTGTCCCACTGTGCAGCCCACAGTGATCCCCACAGTGGATCCTTCCTGGTTGTGTATTTCCCTTGGGGAGCATTGAGACCTGGATATCCTACAGACCCCGTGCTGTGGGGCCAGGCCCCTGAGCAGTGTGACCCTGTGGCTGGGCCTCTGACCTCACAATGGGAGATGACCCTCAGTCAGGTCGAACAACAGCCAACAGGATTTCTACCTGGAGCACAGCCACTTAAAGAGGGGGGAGAGGAAATCAGATCAAATTGTTTATATGTTGAGAGCAGTGGGAATAGAAATTGAAATGCTCACATGTACACAAACAGGTTGGATCTCAATGACCGCAGTGACTCCAGCTGTCTTGCCCCGTTTGAACTGAACCGATTCCGCCACAGTCTGAAACATGAAAATTAAATCAGGAAAAAAGTAAATAGTGTAAACAGGGAAACTGGAATTTACATTTCACTGATACAAATCTGTAAATATTAATCCTAAAATGTAATGAATCCTAGTCATGCTTTATTTATTTATTATATTAAAAATTAACACTCACCCAATCTGCTGCAGACTCTTGCAGGTCTGTATGAGATGGATGAGAAAGGGGATGGATTGGTCTGTGAAGGAGTTTGATGTCAGATCCAAATGCGTCAATGACTGGTTTGTACTGAGAGCAGAGGCAAGATCCTCAGCACAAGAATCTGTGACACCGTTATTCTGCAGTCTGGGGATCAGAGAGAGTAAAATGAGGAATGAGGGTAAATACACAGCATTCTTGATGACAATAGCAATGTAGATTGTGAAGTCCTCTAGATTTGATTTAGAAGAAAAGTTGGATTAATCCTGTAAAATTAATGTCTGAGTGCCATTTGCTTTTATCAGAACTGGAAAAAGCAGCAATTGAAATGGTTTAGTTACATAGAAAGGGGAGGGGAACCAGAGGGAACGAAAGAACCAAATGGAAGTGCAGGAATGATTAAATGACAAAAGGATAAAAGTGCAAAACAGAACCTCTGCATCCTCACATTCTTGTCCTGAGTTGGTAGGATGGATAATGGGATAAATCAATGGAGCAGGAATGGAGTTTGTGCTGGTGTTGAAGGTACAGGACATGTTATTACTGGAAGCCACAAAATCCTGGAAACAGAACTGAAATCAGGAAGTGTGGCCATGTGAGCAGGATAGGCAGAGTCATGAATGCAATATTGTCAGAGCCGGATAATTAATGGCTGACAGGCAGGCGAGAGTTGCCCATTTAATGTGGGCAGAGGACGTCCTGGTTCAGGCAATGCCTGGTACCATTTTTAAAGGCAGTCAGCAGGACTTTCAAACAGCAGCTCTGGAGGGAGCAGCCAGGGATCATTGGCTACTAACAAAGAGCTGAAATTGTAGCAGGTAGATTCAGGTTGCTCCCAGATTCATTGATCCTCGTCCAGGGTGCTTTGGCACAGAAACAGTCCCTGTGCTATCAAGACTGGAGGAGAAGATCAACGTGTCGATGCAGGCAAGTTCAGATCGAGATTGCTGGGGTGGTGAGCAGGCATAGGACGCCTAGTTGCAGTGACAAAAAAAGGATCAATGAGCTGATGTCAACTGGAAGGGTTTCAAGGCTAAACTGAAGGCGTTACATGTGACCAAGGAAGAAAGATAAATTGGTAGAAAAATAGATCCCCGTCCAGTCATTGGCAAAGCCTTGGCAGCAGCTTTGAAGCTCCATAAGCTCATGGTGAGTAAGGACGGTCCACTGTGCCCTGACAGGGTATAGTAGCAGCTGCTTGCTGCATTTGGGTTGGGGGTGGGTCTCGCAGGCACTCCTAGTAAGCCAGCAGGTCATCATTGCCTCTGAATATGACACCAACATCTGTGCAGAAGGCTCTCAGGTTGTTGGCATCCTCCAGGCTTTAGGCAATTAGAGGAGAGCCAGAGTTATCCAAATGCACAGAGGAAAGATATCAGCACCTTGCCACCACTTCAGCTGACAGCACAGAGGTACAACATGGGTGCACCTGCAAGCATTTGTTTTCTTAAAAAGTTCACCCTGAAGCCCTTAGATTTCACATGACTATGCTTTCCTGTTAGATGTCACCTTGCTGTGTAGGTATTGTCAATGAATTCAGAGAGGGTACCTGACAAAAACACCCTTCAGCGAGGTGAGAAGGAAAGCACCAAATGATATCAAAGCATTTCTAGTTACTGTGTTTCATATAGTGATGTTTCCAAGAGACAATAAAGACATTCAAACAGCAGTACCAGGGCCAACAAAGGTGGAAATGTATTACATTGAATGGATGTGAGAGTCAGCTACGGTTGAAACGTGCCTGCATTACTGAATCTTGAGCTTTCCTTGCACACATCTGACATTGCCTTGTCTGTGGTACCTGGGGCTTTTCATCATGCTGTCACTGGGTAACATCGACTGTAGCTCCTGATTGTCCAAGGCGGCATAGGACTAAGGGCTTTCATCATTGTTCAAAACTTCTCCCATTATAACTCCAGGTTACACAGAACACAGTATACCACCAGGACACAGGACTTGTGCTGGGTGTCTCTCTCTCTCCTCTGCAACATGTTCCAAATATTGGTACAAGGACCCTGCAGTGAGTACAGCTTGCTTTTGTTTATGCTTTTGTGTGTCGCTGGCAAAGCCAGCATTTGTCACCCATCTTAACGGTCCTTGAGTATGTATTTGAGAGCTATTCTTGGCTTGCTGCTCTCCATCTGGTGTAGGTACATCCACAATGCTGTACAGGAGGTAGTGCTAGGATTTTGATGCAGTGACAGCAAAGAAACAGCAAAATATTTCCAAGTCAGGGTGGTGCGTAGCTTGGAGGGAACTTGCAGATGGTGCTACCTTCATGTATTTTCTATCTTTGTTCTTCCAGGGTATGAAGATTTTGTGAGATATCGGTGTCTCAAGTGGAAGAAGTGTTCGTGTGTTACAGCAGTGCATCTTCTGTACAGTTCACACAGCTAGCAAAGTGGAGTGATGGAGTGAGTGAATTCCTTTTCTCTCTGGATGAGGTTGAGCTGCAAGTGTTGTTGGAACTGTAATGATCCAGGCAAGTGAGCAGCATTCCATCATCCTCCTGTCTTGAGCCTTGTAAATGATAGACATGCTTTGGACTACTAGTTCAGTGACATTTCTATTAAACTATCATGTCCTGTCATCTAGTATCAAGCCTTGTTGGCAAAGAAAGAGCCTGAAAAACTTAAGCACCCAGGATTGCCACAATGTGTAGGTATTGTTGCTTACCAGGAACCTTGTACAGTCATGAGGGATTTGTTGTGGCAGTCACAGATCAGTTGCACTTTGAAAGTGCAACTCTGCTGCTGATGAAGGCTGCTGTATGCTCTATGGAAGCTCTGTTGGCTGGGTACATGCATGAAGTCAATGACATACAGCAAGGGCTATGGACCCTGACAACACGCTGACAACAGAACTGAACACTTGTGCTGCAGAACTTGCCACACCCCTCGCCAAGCTGTTCCAGTACAGCTACAACATTGGTATCTACTCCACCATGTGGAAAACTGCCCAGGTGTGTCATGTATGTAAAACACAGGACAAATCCAGCCTGGTGAATTATCACCATTATCAGCCTACTCTCAATCATCAGTAAAGTGATGGAAGGTATCATTAATATGATCTCACTATTGATGACATCACTAGTACAGGCACCTGCTCAGTGACATCCAGTTTGGGTTCCAACAGGATCACTCAGCTCGTGACCTCATTACAGCCTTGGTTCATGGAGCAAAGAGCTGAATTCCATCAGTGAGGTGAGAGTGACAGACCTCACCATCAAGGCCACATTTGACTGAGAGCGGCATCGCGGAGCATGAATAAAACTGGAATCAATGGGAATCTCCACTGGTTGAAGTCATATCTGGCACATAAGAAGATGGCTGTGGTTGTTGGAGGTCAGTCATATCAGTTCTATGACATCTCTACAGGAGTTCCTCAGGGGCATGTCCTTGGCCTAACCATCTTCAGCTGTTTCATCAATGACCTTCCCTTCATCAGAAGTGGAGACATTCGCCAATGACTGCACAATGTTCAGCACCATTTGCAACTCCTCATGTACTGAAGCAGTCCATGCAGCAACAGCAGGACAATATCCAGGATTGGGCTAACAAGTGGCAAGTGATATTCATGGCAGACAAATGCCAGGCAATGTACATTCCCAATAAAAGACTAAATAACCACTGCCCCTTGATATTCAATGGTGTCACCCACAATCAACAACGTGGGGATTACCATTGACCAGAATTCAAGAGGGTTCATCATATAAATACAGTGGCTACAAGAACAGGTCACAAGCTGGGAATACTACTCCAAGCAACTCACCTCCTGACTCTGAAAGTCTTTCCACCATCTACAAGGTACAAGTTAAGAGTGTGATGGAATACTTCCCTAATGCCTGCATGGGTGCAGATACAATGACAAAAGAAACTCAACACCATCCAGGACAAAGAAATGCACTTGAATGGCACCATATCCACAAATATGCGCTTCCTCCCCCACCAAGACGTAATAGCAGCAGTGAGTACTAGTGACAGGATACACTGCAGAAATCTGCCAAAGATACTTAGACAGCATCTTTCAAATCCACGACCACTACCATCTAAAACTATAAGGGCATCAGTTACACGGTAAAACCACCACCTGCAAGTTCCCTTCCAAGCCACTCACCATCCTGACTTGGAAATATATCTCTGTTCTTGCAGTGTCTCTGGATCAATATCCTGGAATTCCCACCATAAGGGCATTGTGAATTTACCCTGAGTACATGGACTGCAGTGGTTCAAGGCGGCAGTTCACCACGACGTTCTCAAGTGCAGCTAGGCATGGGCAATAAATGCTGCTCAGCAACACCTACATCCTACAAGTGAATAAAAAGAAAAACACCCTGCACCTATGGCAATCTAATAAAGGCCCTGAGGCCTGCAGCTAAATTGACAGAATTGGTGCTGAAGCACACGCATTGGCCGGTGCTCTTAAAGATTAGCATTGATATTGTGAAGATCCACAGACTGGGAGTTACTACAGACATCTCTATAAGATCCTTGGAATTCACTTAGGTGGGGAAATTCAGTGCCACAGTGATTGTTAATATCAATCGGCATTAGACATTTGCTACATCCCGTATCTCGCTTTTCAGAAATGGCCTCCCTGGAGAGGCACTGTTCACAGCAACACAGCTCCTCTGATACAGACAGGAAGCCTCTGATGGTAAAACCCGTTTAGTGGATAGTATAGTCTGTGCACAAAATGGTCATTGTGTGCCTCTGTGTCCATTTTTCTATGCTCCTTTCCCAGCCGAAGGAGTTGCAGCTAGTTAAGGGTTAAATTTTCAATCATATTGTCAGTAATAGGAAAAGAATATGGGAACCACAGAGGTACAAAGGCAGACTAGGTGTGCAGGAGCTACAGTGTAAGTAGGATAGCACATATAGACAAAATATGTCTATATTGGGCAAAATATAGACAGTGACAGTGTGAACTGGGAGAAAAAGTATAATACATAAGATACATGGATGATGAAACATGAGAACTACAATATGTAGTATTGTAACATTTTGTATAAAGTTTATAGGTGTCTATAATCTTGTGGAATTGGTTTTACACTTCGTTGATAAGACCAGCTCCCCTTGCGTATGTGTGAAAATAATGATCATGTCTCTGTTTCCTCAGTTTTCTATCAATTTGTCAGTCTGGTGTGGTCGGCAGATTGTCATACCAAATCCGCAGAACCATCACTGCACTGAGGCAAGTATGTTGTCATTTACCACGAGTGGTTAGGATGGAGAGCTGCATCAGACAGATATGGACAGGATCCAAAGAATCTGAACGAAGACTCAGGACAGGCCAGGACAGTACAGATCCAAGCAGGTGGGGGGGAAAGAGTGGGAGGAGAGAGACAAAATTCCAAGTAGAGACGGCAGATCCCTGAGGGGTTGCAATTGGAAGAGTTAGGCCAAAGCAGGTCAAGAAACAAAGACTGCACAGGCAGGTGAAACAATGGAAAGAAATTGGAATGCGAATTATAAAACAAAAGAAAAGTTAGCTGATTCTAATAGGGAAAAGAAGACCTCATTGGTGGGCTGGCTAATGTTGGAAGGAAGATACCTCCCTTTGAGAATGTTCTCCATTCCCAGAATGCAGCTGGGACATGGAATAGAAAGAATAAAGAATGAATGAAAACAAATTGTTTCCATGGAAACATTTTTTTAAAAAGAAATTGAATGAAAGGAATCTGTTAGTTATTTGAATTTGGAAAAAAATAAATTTGAAATGTGAAATGCCTACAGGAATTAAAATAAGTTGCTTTTGGAAACCCAAGATGCCAAAGTGTTAAGAAGGAAGAGTCAAGCAATGTTAGTGCCTGGAATCAAATAGAACTATTTGATTGTTGTTTTCGGAATGTTGTAAGAATACTTTATTAGACTGTAAAAGCTCCCGAAGACTCAGGAATAAGACAGGATGGCAGTTATGAAATTCCTCAATTAGAAAAGATCTTAGAAACACAAATATGCTTTGTTTTGAGAACAATTATCAAAGGTTAATTCAATTGAGTATATTAATTTGGAATTCATAGAAGTTATAATGAAGGTAGGTTGATTTGATAGATAAATGTTTAAATACCAGTAATTAAGAATTAGGAATAATTTCTGTTTGAAAGTGAAGTAATCTGGAGGTTGACAGGACCATCAGAGAGACAGATAGTAACCATCACATCTTCAGGTATGGTAGACAGAAGAAATAAAACTTTGAAAACAAATTGAAATGTTGGGTACAGATTATAACAGAAATGTGCCACCAGACTGAACAGGCAGTAGGTATGCCTTTGGGTAGCACATGATTGTACAGTAGTATGGATTGGGAGGGGGGGTTGCAGGTACATCACTTTGGCAGACCCATCTATAGCATGAGACATGAATTAAGGAACTAGAAGAAGCTGCTAGAGGACCATTAGAGGTTACGGCGATAATGATTAAAGCTCATCAGAAGGCAACAGACTTTATCCAGCTCTGTAACTGACAGGCAGATGTGGCACAAAGCAAGCAGATGGAACAAGCCCCAAGCAACAAATGACAGCAGCAGCAATTGAGTTTGAGAAAGTGTAAACAGTAGATTTAAGCAGGGATATGGAAGAGAAGGAAGAATAAAAAAGCAATGGGAAAAACAAGGAATGGCAAAAAGGCACTGATGAGTCTGGTGAAGAGAGGAAAGGTGGCAGCACCATGTTGCATTCAGCACAGCCTGAGCATACCACAGAAATACACATCATGGGAGGGAAGTCATATTAAGGAGGAAGGGCAGATTTTTATGGTGACAAGGAATGGGAATAGACATAGCAAACCACAATGTTGATGCATGGTATGTGCTCAATATAACCTGGAAACACCAGTCAAGGTCCCCATGTTGTACCAGCCCTGACCAAAGGAGACATGGGAATAGTTACAAATATATTCCTCAGGAACCCCCCCAAGCCAGGGAAAGATTTATTCTTTGGTTATTATTGACCTATTTGCGATGTGGGTGAAGGCTCTTTCACACAAGACCCCTGTTCACCCACAAATGTCACTCAAGTAACAGCAGAAGAGGTAATCCCCTAGATGGGGAATATGATTACAGATGGATTCAAGTCATGATGAGGTTTTAAAGTTTGAGGAGTGATTAAGAAGCTACAAGTAATTAAGAGGGTGAATGGAATTTCAGTTTATTGCGGTGGTGGTGATTTGGAGTTTAAATGAGGGAAATCTTGCAATAACTATACAGGGTGTTGGTGAGGTTGCAGCCAGAATACTATGTACAGTTTTGTACCCTGTATTTAAGCAAGGAGATAGCAGCGTTTGAGGCAGCTCATGAGAAGTTCACTGGGCCTACTTGTGAGATGAAGGTGTTGACTTATCGAGGACGATGCAACTAATTCGGCTTTTATTCTTTCATTTTAAAAACATGGGGCAAGATCTCAATGAAACTACAGGATTTTGTGCGTGCTTGATAGGAGGGCGCTTGATA